GAAGAGCCAATAAAAGGGTCCAAATTTAGAATAATTTGAGGAGTAAAATATCCATAAGTCCATACTGAAAATAAATGGGTGAGAAGGGACAATCCTTCTTTACAGAAATGTAAATCCTTTTAATTAATAAAAAAGGAATGATGGAAATAGAAGTCCCTATTAGGCATGCAACATAGTGATAATTGTTGCAGTCAAGAACCACTGATGAATTCTAAACTTAGTGGGCTAAGGTACAATAAGCAGCAGGATCTTTAGAGTTTCAGAGTGTCATCCCTAAGATATTCATTAGTTAACAATGGGGAAAAAATAGCTTTACAGTGGAGAAGCCTGGCAGACACCACCTTAACCAAATGATCAAAGTTAAATCACCAGTAACATGACATATACCTCATGACATGATGAACTGAGGAGGAAATGGTCATTTCTATTGCCCAAAATATATCACCTCAATCTAATCAAGAGGAAATATCAGACAGACCCAAATTGAGGATCACTGTACAAAATGACTGCTAGTACTCTTCAAAAGTATCAAGGTCATGAAAGACAAAGAAAGACTGAGAAACTGTCTCAGACTAGAAGAGACTAAATATAATGTAAAACCCTGGACCAGAAAAACTGCCACTATTTGAATACAGTGTACAGATTAATAGTATTATATCAATGTTCACTTCCTGGTTTCATTATAAATTGTACTATAGTTTTCTATTTTTTTTTTTTACAAATATATTTTTTGACATTTTTGTATTTTATTTATTTATTTGAGAGAGACAGAGAAAGAGAGATGGAAACATCAATGAGAGAGAACATCCACTGGCTGCCTCCTGCATATCCCCCACAACTGGGGATTTGGCCCACAACCTGGGCATGTGCCCTGACTAGGAATTGAACCGGCGACCTCTTGGTGCATGGGTCGATGCTCAACCACTGAGCCACACCAGTTGGGCGTACTATAGTTTTCTTAATATGATGCTTTTATTGATACTCGACAACTGGCCTAAATAAAGACGTTGATTTTAGTATAAGTCACTTTACTAATAATAAGCATGAAACAGCACCATTCTTAAAATCTAAACCCTTTAAAATCAGATACTGAAATTCATTTCCAGAACTTGAAGGCAGTGTTAAAAGGAGCCAGGTTCTCACAGGCCCTCATCCACTTCTGCACATTGGCTTGCACTGTAACTGCAGCCTCCCTTCTGCTGGAGTAAAGACCACAGCACAACATTTGCCAGTGAGTTCATTCACAGTGAGCCAGGGGCTCTTCCCAAGAGCAGAGGTCATGGAGCACAGCAGCTTTTTCTTTACTGCTTCCCTCTTTTAGCTGAAAAATAGCTGTATCTACCCATCTATTTATGTAGGTTAAATTTACAGCATTATGCTTCTGGCTATACAGGGAAGACAAAAAACATGCAATGTTCCCTTCTCCTTCAATGGACACATCGTTTGGACAATGAACTTCATTTGAGTCTTTGGGACATTCTTCCAAATTAAAGGGGCTGTTTCTGAGTCTGCTCGCCTGAGCACCTGAGGTTTTCTGGCATGCTCTTGACTGTGGAAGGCATATGAACAGTGGACAGGACCCTGTAGTGGTCACAGAGCAGCTGGTGCAGGGAGAGGGGAGGAGGCAGGGTCTGCATTGATCATGTCTTTCAGTGCCCTGTAATACTTTCCAAGCACTGAATTTAAGTCCAATGCACTGGGCAATAAAGCAGTGGCTCATCAGTTTGGATGATGTTGGCTACATCCAAGTCTACATCTGGCATCTCAATCATCTTTGAAAGATCATCAATCATAACTTTCGATTCATACAGATGTTCTAAAATATCTCAGCAGAACTCAAGAGCTTGAAGAGATGGGTCAGACTCTTCTCCTGCATGGGGCGTCTGGTCCTACTGTGCACATTGGGGAGCCAGTACATGCAGGGGAACTCTCCATGTACAGATGTGCTGCCCAGTAATAGGGCTTGACCTGGTACATTGGCATCATGGGAACATTAGAGGAAGCTGGGTATATGGAAACTCTCTTATTTTTGCAACTTTTCTGTAATTTTAAATTTATTTCAAAATAAAAGGAAAAACCCTAAATTTATTTCAAAATAAAAGAAAAAACCTTTGAAATATATGAGTTGAACCAATAATATCTTCCATTTTCTTTGAATAAATTGGACTTCATTTGATTTTTTTTTTTTCTATTTATCAGATAGAATGGAAGGAAGGGAGGGAGGCAGAGAGAGAGAGAAACATCAGTGTGAGAGAGACAAATCAACTGGTTGCTTCCCGCATGACCCCGACCAGGGTGAGGGACGAACTGCAACTGAAGTATGTGCCCTTGACCAGAATCGAACTCATGACTTATTGGTCCGCAGACCTATGCTCTAACTGCTGAGCCAAATTGGCCAGGGCTTCATTTGACTTTCTTTTTTTTTTTTACATTTATCTTCAGATAGAGCAGGAAGGAGAGAGGGAGGCAGACAGAGAGAAACATCAATGTGAGAGAGACACATCAAGTGGCTGCCCCCCCAGAACCCCAACTGGGGGGGTCAAACTGCAACTGAGGTACGTGCCCTTGGCGGGAACCGAACCCAGAAGTCTGTGGTCCGTGGGCTAATGCTCTAACCACTGAGCCAAACTGGCCAGGGCTCATTTGACATTTTTCTTTTTTATCCTCACCCGAGGACATTTTTCCATTTTTTTGTTCAGATAGAGTGGGAGGGGGAGAGAGAGAGAGAGAGAAACATCAACGTGAAAGGGACACATCGAGTGGTTGCCACCTGCACGACCCAACCAGGGCTGGGGACAAACTGCAACCAAGGTACGTGCCCTTAGCGGGAACCAAACCCAGGTCTCTCTCTGGACCACAGGCTGACGCTCTAACCGCTGAGCCAAACTGGCCAGGGCTCATTTGACTTTTTAAAAGGAATAAATTTTAGTTTAATTAAGTTGTATTTTTGATAAAGTATACTTATTAGTTTCTAGTGAAAATGCCGCTGGAGGAAAGAAAATCAAGTAGGTACTAGGATTTGCTGTGGCTTTTAAAGACTTCTGTTTCCCAGTCTGAGAGAAGGTTGAGGAGAAAACTGAATCAGTGCTATGACTGAGACACCTTGAGGTTCCAACTTGTCCCAGTTCTGGAGGTTGTGACCTACAGAACATTTCTCTGGAGCTGGGCTCCACTCCCTTTACAGGGATTTTTTTCCTTAGCAGCAGCAGGACTCCACGTGCTTACAGGGCCTGTAGTTCTTGTTCTGGTTTTGGCGTATTTATAGCAAAAGGTTTGGCCATGGATGTATTGAGTGCGGACAGGTAAGTGGCTAAAGCTGCATTTATCAAGCATTCGCAACTTTTGTTTCTTAGCCATGTAGAGACGACAGTGCATTTGATTCTGGCTTCCCTCTTATTTTGCAGCCTTGGAATATTTATTCCTCTAAATTCAATATTCTCCTGATTCTATTTTGAAAACAACAGCAAATAAACCATCTGATTCAAAATTGCATAAAGGACTTGAATAGACACTTCTCTAGAGAATATATACAAATGGTCAATAAGCACATCAACATTAGTCATTAAGAAAATGCAAATCAAAACCACGATGAGATACCCACTAGGATAGCTATAATAATTTTTAAAAATGAAAAATAAGGGTTAGCAAGGATGTAGAGAAATAGGAACATTGCTGGTAAGAATATCAAATGGTAGAGCTGCTATAAAAAACAGTTCCTCAAAAAGTTAAGCGCAGAATTACCACAGCATCCAGCAATTCCACTCCCAGGTATATATCCAAAAGAGTGAAAAATGGGCTCAAACAGGTATCTGTACACTAATATTCACAGAAGCATTACCCACAATAGCCACAAGGTGGAAACAATCCAAGCATCCATTAACAGATGAGTGGATAAAGAAAATGTGGTATAGCCCTGGCCAGTTTGGCTCAGCGGTTAGAGCGTCGGCCTGCAGTCCGGAGAGACCTGGGTTCAGTTCCCGCTAAGGGCACGTACTTCGGTTGCAGTTTGTCCCCGGCCCTGGTTGGTCGTGCGGGTGGCAGCCACTCGATGTGTCCCTTCACGTCGATGTTTCTCTCTCTCTCTCTTCCTCTCTCTCCCTCCCACTCCATCTGTACAAAAAATGGAAAAATATCCTCGGGTGAGGATAAAAAAAAAAAAAAAAAGAAAATGTGGTATATATTTACAGTGGAACAGTATTCAGCCATAAGAAATGAAGTTCTCATACATGCTACAAGATGTCTGGACCTTGAAAACATCATGCTAAGTGAAATAAGCCAGACACAAAGGGACAAAAATTACATGGTCCCACTTAAAAAATAACTACAATAGGCAAATTTGTAGAGATAGAAAGGATATTAGAGGTTACCAGGGGTTTGGGTAAAGAGGAAATGGGGAGTTATTATTTAATGGGTACAGAGTTTTTGTCTCAGGTGATGAAAATAGTTCTGGAAATAGATAATGATAATGCTTATACAACACTATGAATATACTTAATGCCACTAAATTATATACTTAATAATGGCAAGTTTTCTAAATTGACAATTCCCAAGTAAAGAATGGTGTAAACATGACTGGATTCATGCAGCTTTAAAAAGCAGAACACAAAAAAATATAACTTATGCACTGGCCGTTTTGGCTCAGTGGTTAGAGTGTCTGCCCAGGGACCAAAGGGCCGCAGGTTCGATTCCCGGTCAAGGGCACGTGCCTGGATTGCAGGTTTGATCCGCAGCTCTGGTAAGGGTTGTGTGGAAGGCAACGGACTGATGTGTCTCTCTCACATCGATGTTTCTCTCCCTGCCTATATATAACTTACACAAGATGGGCAATCATAAAATTGTATAAACACACTGACAAAAATTAAGTTTTTAAATAAAGTGACTTAATTCTGGTATATATTCATGGGCTTCTATTCCATAAAATTAATTTACATTTTAAAACAGATTATTTTTCCTTCAAAAGTTAGGAGCTCCAGACCCCAGTCCTTCTGTAAATTTCTTACCATTGAGTCATTCCTGCAGCACAGACAGACACAGGCTCCACAGAACCACCTTGCCAGCTGTCTCCCGGCCTTAGCCTGGAAAGCATCCAATTCTTCCTCCTCTGGGACCAGAGAAGGGCTGCGCCCTTCTCTCCCAGACTGTCCCAGCAAAGGGGAAACCTTGACACCAGCACGGTCTTCACCAATGGGACTTAATGCTGTGAATCCTTCCTGGGTTTACCTATCAGTAAATTGATTTTTCAAGACTTAAAGACCTCACTGATGCTTTCAGGTAGAATTTTACATAACAAAGTGACTGAGCTGCTTTGAGACAACAGAAACCTACCATCACATCACAGAGCCAACAAAACAAGAAAAACTGAGCTGAGGGATTATAAACCCAAGGCCAGTGACTAACCTTTGTACTCAGGAGTGAACTCCTTCATTTCAGGAGGGAGGGACTCGTAGAAGCGCTGCTCCCTGGAGATGAGGGGCTTGCACACAGTGTGGTCATCGTAGCGCATCATGCTGCTGTGTCCGCCCACCTGGTGGATGAAGGGCTCCAGGAGGACTCCCCGGTCTCCGGACAGACTCGCGTTCTTGCCATACTGCCCCACTTCCATGGTTTGACAAACACACATTGCGTTGGGGGCCCGTTGCACACTGAGGGCAGAGGATGTAGCACATGGGCCACAAAAGGAGACCTAGGTCGAAGGTCCTGGTGAGCTGAAAGCCAATGGTCAGAATCTGTTCAGCTTATTCTTCTTTCCTAACAGAAAGGAAGAGGAAAAGAGGGACTCAAAATACCTGACAAGGTAGTTTCCCCAGCGTTCAGAGAGTGTCTGCTCCAGAAGTAACAGCAGGGACTCTGTTTGGTGTCCTGCTACGTGTGGTGGCCCCCAGCATGGTGTGTGAAAGGCAGTTGAATTTATCTTTATGATGCAATGTTGGTCTCCTCCATCTACCTTTTTATGAACAAAAGCCCACATTCTCTTCCCTTCCCAGTTCTCAGACGCCTTCTAAATTCTCTAAAGGATTTGATTTTAGAGCTAAAGTATGTTACAGCCATCAGGAAGGCAACTATCCCTATTCCCTTCACATTCAAAGAAAAGAGTTCAGGAAAAAAACAGAAGGCAACATGAACTCATTCTGTTCAAACTTCTCACAAAATCCAGTACTGGTAAGGGTCTCTCCCGGACTCAAAGGAAGGGGTTCTGTTTTTGTTTTGTTTTTTATCTTCATCCGAGGACATTTTTTCATTTTTTGTTCAGACAGAGTGGAAGGGAGAGAGAGGAAGAGGGAGGGAGGGAGAAAGAGAGAGAGAGAGAAAAACATCAACGTGAAAGGGACACATCGAGTGGCTGCCACCCACACGACCCAACCAGGGACAAACTGCAACGGAGATAACGTGCCCTTAGTGGGAACCGAACCCGGGTCTCTCTGGACCGCAAGCCGATGCTCTAACTGCTGAGCCAAACCAGCCAGGGCAAAGAAGGGGTTCTGAATGAGAAATCAGGTCACACTAGATTCCCAACTTTTCTGCTGAAGGTGCCAAGGACCAGGTGGTAAAAGTCATTCCCTGCTGAGTTACAGAATCATAAAAACATCTTTCTTTTCCCAAAGAAATTCAGGCTTCAGATTTCTTCTACATTAAATCTATGGCCATCTAGTTCAGACCATGTCTAGCACTACAGGGCCTCCCTTCCTGCTGACTTTATACCAACCAATGGGACAAGGAAAAGCTCTCTGTCTTCAAATACCCTCCTTGTAATGTCAATTTCCTCTCAAGAAAGTTCAAGGAGTGGGCACATTCCTTAGTACTGAATATATTTTTAAATTAGAAATATATTGGCAAGACTACATCTGAAAGTTCAAGACTAAAAAAATAAAATACAGTATTTGCAGAGCAATATGGTTTTACCTGCAAGAGACAAATAATTTTTTTCTGAACCTCATAATGATGAGCAGAATGAGCTATAACAAGAACAATGCTGTAAAACTGTCTTAATCCAAAACTGTCCAGGAACTATGTCCTATTTCACTACTATCAACAAAAATAAATTGTTCTCCACTCCCACTCCCCCAAACAGATCAGCTCAGCTTTTTTTGCTTAGCCATCTACTTCCTAGATTTCCTTTAAGATAAGGCTCTCTGCCCCCAGGGATGTTTTCCCAGACTCCAGTGTCTCCTAAAAGGAGTTTGATACACACCTCAAAGGTTCCTGTGCTGACTCTATAGCAATATATCACTACAGTGCCATCATTTACTTGTCTGTCACCACCACCAAACCACTCTCTCATCTCCATCCAGGATCCAAGGCAGTTTTTGAGCACAGTAAATACTCAAAAAAAAAAAGTTTGTTGGAATGAATTAAACAACTCCAGAAGAAGACCACAGTGAGCAAAAGCACAAAATGAAAATAAAAGGAATCTCATAGTGGCAAAAAAGACTAAATCCATGTCTTATAATTAGGGCACATAAATTATCTACTGGGTCACATAATTTTTTTTTTATCCTCACCCAAGGATATTTTTCCATTTTTAGTTCAGGTAGAGTGGGAGGGAGAGAGAGAGAGAAACATCGATGTGAAAGGGACACATCGAGTGGTTGCCACTCACAGGACCCAACCAGGGCCGGGGACAAACTGCAACCGAGGTACATGCCCTTAGCGGGAGCCGAATCCAGATCTCTCTGGACCACAGGCTGACGCTCTAACCGCTGAGCCAAACCCGCCAGGGCATGGGTCACATAATTTTAATCACAACATGATCTCGCCAAAACCCCAACCTTAATCTTGTTCAAAGTGTCTGTTTTGGCAAACTAAAGCCTAACTTGGTGTTATACCTCTCCCACCACCACCCATCCCCCACCTCCAAACTGATTCACACCCTATTGCAAACCACCAATAAATACAGACACAACACTGCAGCCACAGGGATTGTTAAACTGAGAGTCAAAGCATGTGATTTCTCAGTTCAAAATCCTGCAATCTCACCCAAAGCAGAAGTCCAACTCCCTTACCAGAACCTACAAAATCTGTATTCATCCCACCCTCTTTTCTCTCTGATATGATTTTCTATCCCTCTCCCCATTGCTTATTACTTCACTCTAGTTGCACTGACTAGACACATGGGCATATTTTGCTGCTCTATGGCCTTTGCACCAGCCATTCCCTCTGCCTGGACCATTCTTCCCCCGGATATCTACATGGCTAACTCACTCACTTCCTTCAAAAGTAGCAGCTCAAATGTCTCTTTGTCAACGAGATCTACCTAATCTCCCTAAATTTAAACTGCAAACCCACCTGGACTCTCCATCCCCCTTAATCTGCTCTACTTTTTCTCCCCATGGTTCATACCCTCTTCTAACATATTACATACTTTATCGATAATGTCTGTTGTTTATTTTTATTATAATGTCAACTTCATGAAGGAAAGACTGTCTGTTTAGGTCACTATATATTATCCTAAACGCCCACAGCAGTGTCTGGCACATGGTAGCAACACAATAAAAACGGCTGAATAAATGAATGTGTGTATATGATGTTCGTAACAGATGTGTAGTAGGATAAGTATATTACATGTGAAACTTTTCACATAAACTTTTTTTATGGAGGGTAAGTTCTTTGTTTGTTTTACTATTACGGACTAATCTAGGGCTACCAAAACCAGAACAAAGAGGTGGCTTTACAGAGAACAAAGCATATTGGCCACAGGACAGAATCCCAAATCAACAAATAAAAACAATGCAAAATTCTGCGTTTTGACTCTAAAAAGAGGAAAAATAGTTTTAAATGTACCTGGATAAGAACAGTAACAACAGGACTTCCGGTCAAGATGGTGGGTAGGTAAATGAGGTATCTGTCCTCCCACAACCACATCAAAGTTACAACTAAACTATAGAACCATCATTCAAAACCGCCTGACATCGAGCTGAATGGAAGTCCTACAACTACGGAATTAAAGCAGCAGCCACATCGAGACTGGTAGGAGGGGCGGAGGGGACGGGCTGGTCCCACACCCACGTGTGGTGGATAAAAATCAGGAGGACACCTCGGCTGGGAAGGTCCTCCCTGAGGGCTGAGGGGTCCCTGCCCCACACCAGGCACCCCGCTCAGGGTTCCAGTGCCAGGAAGAGAATCCCCATAACTTCTGGCTGGAAAAAACAGCGGGAACTGAGGCTCAGGGAGGCTGAAGCGGCTGGAGCCCCAGGCAGCTCCTTAAAGGGCCCGCACACGGATTTATCGGACTCTCTCCCTCTAAGCTTGGAGGAGAGGCAGCTCCAGGGGCACCAGAGACATACAGGGAAGAACTGGGCTGTTTGGCAATGGAGTGAGGGCTAGAGAGGGGGCTTTCTCCGGGACAAACGTGCTGTCAGAGGCCTTTGTTCCGCCTTTCCTTCACGAGGCCAGCAGACAGCCGCCATATCTGGGACCCCAGCAACCTGGCTCACACTGGTGGCCCCGCCCCACCCAACTTTCAGGCCCACCCAAGCTGTTGCCAGTTGCTTTACCATAAGATTGGCCTGTCTTGGATCCTGCTTCAGGTTTTCCTAAATTCTTTCAAGCAGCATCTGGTCTCAGCTAGCCCCATACCTCTCGTTAAGTAATACACAGAAACAAACACACGGAGGCAGCCAAAATGAGGAGACAAAGAAATAGGTTCCAGATGAAAGAACAGAAAAAAATCTCCTGGAAAAGAACTAAGCAAAATGGAGATAAGCAACCTAACTGAGTTCAAAATACTGCTTATAAGGATGCTCAATAAACTTAGTGAGAAAAAGTAAAAATAAAAATAAAAAAATAAAAATAAAAACCTAAGTGAACTTAGTGAGGGCCTCAAGAGCATAAAAAAAGACCAGTCAGCTCTGGCCGGTTTGGCTCAGCAGTTAGAGCGTCGGCCTGTGGTCCGGAGAGACCCGGGTTCGGTTCCCGCTAAGGGCACAACCTCTGTCCCCGGCCCTGGTTGGTCGTGCGGGTGGCAGCCACTCGATGTGTCCCTTCACGTCGATGTTTCTCTCTCTCTCTCCCTTCCTCTCTCTCCCTCCCACTCTATCTGTACAAAATATGGAAAAATATCCTCAGGTGAGGATAAAAAAATAAATAAAAATTTAAAAAAAAGACCAGTCAGAATGAAGGAGGCACTCACTGAATTAAAGAATTTACACAGATTCAATAGTAGAGTAGGTAAAACCAAGAAGTAAACCATCGATTTGGAATATAAGGAAGCAAAAAACACCCAATCAGAACAGCAAAAAGAAAAAAAAATACAAAAAAATGAGGGCAGTGTAAGGAGCCTCTGGGACAACTTCAAGCATGCCAACATTCGCATCTTGGGGGTGCCAGAAGGAGAAGAGAGAGAACAAGAAATCGAAAACCTATTTGAAACAATAACGGCAGAAAAATTTCCTAATTTGGTGAAGGAAACAGACATACAAGTCCAGGAAGCACAGAGAGTCCCAAACAAGATGAACCCTAAGAGGCCCACACCAAGACACATCATCATCAAAATGCAAAAGGTTCAAAACAAAGAGAAA